GCAATCATAAATAATAATAATATTTTACAGAAGGCTTCAAGCATGTGCACTGCATCCCTCTGCAAACTGATTTTGTAGTGACTTGGTTTCATGTCAGTTTAACAAAATGCTGAATGTGCATAGTTCCTCTTCATTTTATCTTAAAATAGGACATCTAAATAAGGAGCTCTGTAGGCCTTTCCCAGTCTCTCCTGGCTGTCAGCTTTCACTGAGCTTCCCCACACCTCCCACTGCATTTTTCTCCAGGGTAGGAAGAGACTCTGCAATGTAAGTGGGATTATTCATGGGTGACAAATGTAGCCTGGTGCGACTGTGGGATAGAGAAAAGCAGATACAAACTGCAGAAAATTTGAGAAATGGAAGTGGGGTTTAGAGGGGGGGATAGCAGAGGGCTGATCCTGTGCTGTGTTAAAATGCAGCCTGGTTTTACCTCTTCCATAAGCTGCTGTTTCCAAAGACACTGGGGAAGCTGGTGCTGTCTGTGTCACAGGGGTATTTTGTTCTTGCTCTGTGAAAGCAAATCCAGGCTTGGTTTCGACCCTGTTGAGGTTCCTCTTGCAGAACTGCAGGTCAGGGCTGATCTCTGTGGTGTCACTAGAGCCACTGACACGCCCACCAGCATATCCAGAACACTGGTTCCAGTGGCACTGCCCCCAGGACACTGCCTTCCAGCAGTGTCAGAATACCCTTAAAAACCCCCTACATCCCCATGTAAATGGAGAACCTCATAGCAGGCTCTCCAAAGATGACTTCTTACTTGAAAAGAATTTCTAAATAAACTCCAAGCCTCATTTTTATAAGGGAGGATGGTATTTGCAGAAAAGGTCAAGGCTGTAACAGTCGGTATCCTCGGAGATAGGAATTCTGAGCCCCTGCAGCTTCCCATAATTTGGCACATCTTTCAACTCTCAAGTCCCCATTTCACATCCCCAGTCAAGAAAGACATGAGGTTTTGATTTCAAAATGCAAAACTCCACTGACTGGGATGCTTTTCCATAAAGAAAATGTACAGGAACAAAAATTTTTAGGATTTCACTGATTATATGGCTATGCTCAGCCCCAGCCCTGTGCCAGGATCTATTAGTGCTGGGGCTGCAGGAACAGACCCTTGCAAGGCATCAGTGGAACTTCTGCCTCTGGGGAGGTCCAGCTGCAGCCCTTGTATCCCCTCTCCTTGATTCAGTTTTGGCTGGTCACAGGACAGGGGAGCAGGATGGGTCAGGCTGCCTGGCATTGCTCAAGGCTGGAGATCTGCTGTACTTGTCACTGGGGGAGCAGGCAGCAATCTCTGACTTTAGCAGGTGTGAGAGAAGCCTTTCCTGCGAGAGTCTGCGAGGAGAGCATGGAAACACGAACATAACTAGCAGTGAAAACTGAGTGGGATTTGTGTTTCTGGTGAGATGTCAGGAAATAGCTTTAAAAATGCAGTGCTGAGAGGCTTCCCAGGAAGCTTTACCTATTCCCTCACCTGGGAAGATCGCTGCGATGAATTCCTCGGGCGTGACGCAGCAAAGAGCTGCTCCGGAGCTGCCTCGGCTCTCCTGGCAATTCCAGGCGTGGGCTCAGGGAGGAGAGCGAAGGGCAGTACCTGGGAACCTGGGAAGATCAGGCAGAAGCGCTGGCAGTAGCTCTGACTCAGCTCACCGTGTGGGTTGACATATGTATATTGCCATATACATTTGTAAATGTTTTGGTATGCCTGAGCAAGCCAATATCTGGAATTAATTTTGTTCTTTTGGGAGGCAAGACAGGGAGCCCGTAAAGAGAATAAATCCAAGTGGACCACATGTATGAATCTTGCTGGGGTTTGTTCAGTTGGCTGAGACCTGTGTGTTGATGTGCATTTGCAGTTTGAATTGCCTGGATTTGATTTTCCTTACCTCACTTATAGAGTGACTCGGACTAAATTGAAGTAAGATCATTCCAGTCTTGAAGCAGACTTGTCATCATCATGGCTAGGCTTTGCAAATGAAGATTTGGGAAGGACTCTACCCACATTTGCTACAAGCACACTGGTGGCTAAAGAGGCCAATGTGAGATAGACAAGTCTGGTTGCAGAAGCAGACTTATATGCTGGTATTAAACATACATTAGAGAGTTGTGCAATGCAGAATCCCTGCTCTGCAGTCTGTTTTAGTGTTTCTTTTTGTCTCAGTGCCTCTGTACTTTTTAATGTCAACACGCTGATACTGGCTGTGCTATTTTGTGAGACATGATGTCCTAAGGGGAGGTGAGGATCATTTCTCTGTCACTAACGTTTGCCACTTTTGGGAGCAGAATGCACTCTCACCATGTTACACATTAGAAGACAAAAAATTCCTTTTTAAGGCTGAAATTGCAAGGAGGATGGTAGAGGCAGAATGCAGCTACCTCAGCTGCATCAGAGCTCCTGCAAAAAAAAAATGCAATGGGCCAACAAGGGGTCCAGCAACAGCACAAGCTATTCCTTGGTTGTAGCCTGGCTGCAGGATGATCTGGGATCATATCCCATCAAACTCTCTCACAGTTCTGCTGGCAAAATGCACTTTCTCGTTGGTGTTTGACGACAGGATTATAAAGAGCTGCTGCACTTACAGGCAAAGAAATGCTACAGGTCCTAGATTGCTGCAAATCACATTTATGCTTGTGAAGCCCATCTCATCCGAAGGCTTCAACTGGATTAGTTATTTTTAAACCCCACAGAAGGAGTGTTAAAAATGTGCTTTTTCATGCAAGCAGCCTTAAAAAAAACCCACTGTGCTTTATGTTCTGAGGTGCTTTCTCATAATTTCCCCATCCCTTTGCTGCCTACACCCTGACACTGTACGAAAATTACTTTGGAGACAACACAAAGGGCTGTTTCTGCAGTTTGCTTTTTGTAAACCTTAGGATTTTGCTTTTCTCCTTTGCTGAAACTCCAGTAACCATTTAAGATTTTGATACCTGATTTGAGAGAGAATTACAGCTCCTGCATGTGCCTGTTACATCCCTGTATGGAGCCACTGGCTGGTACTTATTGATATATTATTAATAGCTGACAGTGGAGAGCCAAATAAATGTCCTCTGGTTTTAAGGTAAAATCGTGAAGGGATAACTCTTGCTGTTATATGAACTGAGTCTTTTATACATGCAGAACAAACCTTATCAGCTATTGCAGCTTTTAGAAAGTGTTGCTGTTGTATTTCTTAATGGGTCTGGCTGAAATCCAGTGCTTGGGGCTTTGGGGGCTGCCAACACCTTGCCCACAGGCAGGTGCTGTGGTCAGCCACAGATCCCCTTCCTGGCTCCTATGGGATGCACTTATGGATGCTGAGTTGTGCCTAAAGCCAACGTGGCTGAGCAGAGTGTGCCAGCTCGCAAGGGGCTTTTGTAATCCAAGATCATCAGGGCAGTAAGAAGAAACCCTTAAGTACCTGCACTCCCTGCTCCTTTCCTAAGGTGAATACAGACTAATTTAAAGCAGATGAGGTGGCTCTGACATGCTGCAGTGAACCCAATCCATGGCTCCTGCTAAGGGAAAAACCTCCTGAAACAAGCAGAGGCTTTGTCTGAGCTTGAGAAGGGCATGAGCTTCTGCTCCCTGTGTTTTTCATCCTATAATTTATTCCACATCTCCCTTTCTGCCCTCAAGCCAAGCTTCCAGGTCCCAGATAAGCAGCGAGCGAGGTCTCCCTCTCCTAGGGGAATGACAGGCCGGGGACAAAGTCTCTCTCCAGGCTCTCCCTGCTATACAGAGGAAGGGTTGGCTCTGTCCCCATGTCCTGCCTGGCTGGCACAGGGGACGGGCTGTGGGGGGACGAGTAGACAAATTACCTCTGCCCCTCTTGGCTGAAGCTCCTGGCTCAGCTTCAGAGGGCTTTTCTTACCACCTTATCACAGCAGCTGAAATTCCAGCTAAACAAAACTCAGCCACAGACTTATTCAAAACATTTATTAGTGTTTAAGGAAAATAATAGTGTGAAAGGTACAGAGCTTTCTCTAAAGCCATATGCATTTTCTTTATTTACAAGCTTATTTGGCTGCAAATTCTACATGAGATAAAACTAGTATGTTTTTCTCCCAGAGATTTGGAATTAAGGACAGTTTGTATTTTTTTTATTTTATTTTTTTTCTCCTTTTAGTTCAGCACTGTAAGTTAGGACAGCATTTTCCAGGGTTTACTGCTATCTTTTTCCAGTAGGCGTTTTGCTTCTTGCAGTATTTTCATTCCAGAACAAGGCTCATTCCAGATGCAAAGCATAAAGGAAACATTCATACCTTGGCTTTTAAGCTAAACCTCCTCTATGAACAGCAAGTTCATAAGGAATGTTAATTAAAGCATCATACAGTATCTAAATGGACTTTTTTTTTTTCTTTTTTATAAAGAATTAAGGCTATGTAGATGTCACAATAAAATAATCTCAGGTAAGACGCACCCTATCTGTTAGATATGAAAGAAGGTTTAACAATAAATAAATGATTTATGCTGTCAATAACATTATGGAACTGTATAAAACTATATTTACGCAGCTTTAAACATAAAAAAACCCATACTAGTGGCATGAATATATACAACACAGGTCATGACATACGTTTAAATTATCATAGCCAGCAGTGTTCTTTTTTAAATGGGGACACTATAATAAATAGAAATGTTAAATATTTACAATAATAGCATATGTGGAATCAGTAGATGAACACATAAAATCTTCACACACAGAGGAAAAAAAATGATGCCTTATACAAAAATCCCTCCCACCCACAGCTTGTCCTCCCCCCCCCCCCCAATTTTCATTGACTAAACAAGGGGAATATACAGTTTTCCCCACAGAACCAATGAATACAAATAAAACTGTATGCATGCTGAGGTGATATGTTGACTGAGACATTCAAGGATGTAGATCTCTATGTTTGGTTCCCATTGATGAATCAGACCTCTAATGACAGAGGGATCTTATTTTAGTTCAATGCAAGAACATTGCACTGGTAGCAAGTTGTTTCTGGTTTGCATTTGTTTTCCTTTTCTTTTTTTTTTTTTTTTTTTTTTGCTAAAATGCTTGGATTGTCTTTTTGGTTTGAGCTTGTTCTTCGTGGTGGCTCTGTGCCACCGGGGGGGAGGACGCTTGCAGGAAACCCACGGAGGCACATGCTAGAAACCTTCTCATGGTACCACCAGCAGCCACCTTTTGGAGCAGAGGAGGTGGCCAACACTCAGACCCAAACCAACCTTCCCAAGCTGCTCCATGGGACAGCCTGGGTGCCCCAGGGATGGCAGAGCTGTCACCAGCCCAGTGGCGCAGCTGCCACACCCACTGGCACATCACCATGGTCTTTGTTGCTATAGCATCTGGCCTGATCCCACCTCTTCCCACTTGAGTCAAACAAAAATGTTATCAGAGAACTTTGCTAAAATCAGGCAGGATCAGGGTCATGTCTTTAGAGCAGAGACCTGGTGATCACAGGGACACACCTTTTCAACTTAACTGTCCTCTCTCACTTCCTACGTGGTTGCTATTAAAAGCAGTGCCTCTACCTTCCGCGGGTGGATCCATGCATTAAACCCTGAATACAGCTATTAGGAGCCGTGTTCACTCAGCAGTAACTGAAATCTGAGTTGGAAATTGTAGCCAAATTCCAACACCCTCTACTGCTTATGCAGCTCCTTCCCACCATGCGACAAGACGTACGTTAGTTCACTGGGTACGTTCTGTCCCTGCTGAACTGCCTTCCTGCCCCCACAGCTTTCCTCCCAAACTTTCTAAATGAGAAGGCTCAAATCCCTGGTGTGATTCCCACTTTCTAAGAAAACTCACTTTTTCTCTCGAGGAAGCTGAGAGCTCGCCCTTCTGTCCTCGTGGATGCCGTAACCTCCACTTCCAGTACAATATCTGGGGATATAGGATTGCAGAGCTGCAACCTGAGAATTACAATTGCATAGGGGGTAGGAGAGATATGGCCAAACACCTCATTCACACTTGAAACTGCTTAAAGACAATAAGCTCTTGACACTCTTCATCTTTACTAACTCACTCTGTGGAGACTGGTGGTCATTATCTGCACAACAATTAAAAAACCCGAGTCAATCCCCTCTCCTTATCTTTGGCATTTGGATAAACCATAGCTATAGGCAGGTTAGAGTGGGGCTCCACATCTCAGCAAACCATACCACGCTACTGCTAAGGAGAGACAGATTTCTGATGGGCCTTCAACGCAGCCCTACAGAAAAACACATGGGGTCCTTCGCTGTCTGAGCCCACACCCATCCCTTTAGGCTTGGGCTGTCTATAAGGGTGGAAGACCTGTATCACTGAAGGGGCAGATGTAAGCAGAGAATATGCACAGGGTTCTTAGAGGTCCACAAGAATACTTTTGGGGGTCCTCCACACTGTGCAAGTCTTTAACAGTCACATTGCCTTGTCTGGAAGCTGACTACTCGCCTGTGATACGCTGAAGGGACTGGGTATGATACTGTGATTAGCAAGTGTCAAGTTATGCAGTGGTTCAAAACAAACAGGGGGGCACTTAAACCAGGCAGCGTCACCCAGGTGGGAACAATGGCTCAGAAGTTAGTTAAGAGAAAGTGGTGGAGCTCCAGACCGCACGGTTCCTCTGCGAGAGACGGGGCAGCTACTTCATTAGAGAGCTTCACATAGAGAGCCTGGAGCTCTTGTGTTCTCAGCCACAAGCAGAAACCAAATCCCTTTGGAATTCAGCCATCTGCTGTAAGGCCGTGCCCTAGACCTTTGGAGGTGCTAAGCCACAAGCAGCCACATGCAGTCTGGCAGAGCCCTCTTGGAACAGTCTCCCCAGCCAAGGAGACCAAGGGAAAAAAACAAAACAAACCCCAAAACCAACCCAACAATTCCCAAACAAGATCCTAAATTTCAGATTATGTCTGTTTCATAAAAAAGGGGAAAAGAATTTAGTTGGAGACATTTTGCCACGTTTGGTGGCTGCTCGAGTGTCGAGTTTGCTGGATCGATAACCCATTGCCACTGCTCTCCCTTTGCTACTATATACACTGTTGCCGAGGTCCATATATATCTTGCAATGCCCTGTGCTTGACCTCTGAATGGGAAATGCTTTGGAATGTCCATAGACGGGAAGATGGAACTCAGGAGGATTCCGGTGGAGGGGGAGGATGGGGGGGAAGGGGAGCTGGTGCCTTTTTTCACCTCCGGATGTCGGAGAAGTCGGACAGTTCGTCTGCCCGGTCCACGATCCCTTGTGCCCCTTTGGGACTGTGGCCCCCAGCTTTCACCCGGGCATGGGCATTCAAGTGGCCCTTGGTACCTCTCTCTCCCTTGGATGCTCTCGAGCTCTCCCTGTGGTCGGGGTCGGAGTGGGCCAGCATGTCCCCACGGCCAGCACCGCCTTTGGTGGCTTCACCCGGCTTCTTCTCGGCGCCCAGGGCGGCGTCACCATGCACAGCCGAGGTGCAGAAGCTCAGGATGGAGCAGAGACTTCCCCAGTTCTGTTCACACTGGGCCTGGACGCTTCTTGTTATTGCCTTTTTCACCTCCTCGCCACAGGTGAGCAGGATATTCACTAGGTCAACATATGGCCTAGAGGAAAAGGAAACAGGGAGAGGAGAGTTAAAAAACACAAGGGAATCTGCCTCACGGTCCCCTGGGCACAGCACAGGTCAGTGGTGTGAGCCCCTGCCACCCACCGAGTCGGCAGCCTTGGAGAGCAATTCTGCAGCATGTTTTTTATGCAATATACTATATTCTGATTGGCCATTTTGCTGTAGGACACTGTGGCATCCCGTCAAAGCTTTACTGGATCTGCCTTGATTACTCTCCCAGTGGAGAACTGGAATGTCCACCAGAGGAACAGATGAGGTCTCCCTGCTTGGCAAATGGAAGAACTGCTATCTCATACTTTCTGCCTCTCTCTCTTTCCACAACATTTCATCTTTAGTAGTCAGGACACACCACAAAGGAAACTTGCTCATGTCCAGAGCCATCAGCTTCATCAAGCAGTTGCTACCTCCAGGTGACTGGCAGGTACAGAACATTCACCAATCACCAGTCTGCAAGAGGGAGGCACTGCCTCACCTCTATGAAAGCAAAAAAGAGGTTCTTTGGCTTTTCTCATCTCTGAAGCACTGGGTATTGATCTCCACTACAGGCGAGATCCTATCTGAACTTGGGATCTGACTGCACAGAGCTCAGACACACAGAAATCCACTTTGCTGGTACTTTTTCTTCCCACACCAAGGTTCTTTTTCTTCATTTCCTTACAGAGTTGAGTACAGCTTTCAGTATATACCTTTCCCCAGCCAAACAAGCCATGGCTAAACACCCTTTGTGCTTCCTACCCTCATCCCTGTGAGTCCCCACACAGAGGCACTTCGGCTTCCTCAGCCACGGGTCACCGAGTGCAGCGATTTTAAAATAGTTGTGGTCACAAGTTTTGTGGGTCAATATTGATGTTGTCTATTGACACAACCGCTCAGCTGCTTGCAGGCCCAGAAGGACGTGCTTAAAAATCTTCCACGGTAGGAACCATCCCCAGCACAAGTGGAAAACTGCCCAGGGTCAGCACTCGTGGCTGTGTGGGGTGGTGGGCGTGCAACTTCTGGGCACACCATCCACCAGCTCTGGTGGCTGTGGACAAGTCTAAATTTCTTCTCACTAACTAAGTCAGAAGAAACAAGGAAAACTAACCAATTATGATCAGTGTCTGACACTACCCAACTACTTAAACTCATTTTGAATCACTAATCTTAGAGAGCCACCTATTCCCCTATCTCAAAATATTTCCCATGGTTGGATTGTTTCTGCTGTTTAAAAAAAAAGTTACTTGGAATGCAGCAGCGACCAATCTGCCAAAGCCTGTCACCACTTCCACCATAGCAAATCAGCCTGACCCCCACCCCACCACAGCTGACTCAGGAGGAGGCTTCACTGCCCTGGTTGTGTTCCACAACACTCATCAGGAGAGAACAGTCAGAACAAATAGTCAGAGAAAAAGTCTGAGAGCTGCCACTTGCTTCTCTGCTCCTGGTTTTTGTTTTAAATGTAAAATAGAAGAGAGAACTGAGCATGTTGCATACAAAGCAATCCAGCAGAAGGAAATAATAAAAAAAAATCGGTTCTTCAAACTGGGCATAACCTTTACAAAAATCTTGGTAGGAAAAAAGGTCGCTGGTATGACTAAAAAGCGGCTCAGCTGCCAAATATTTCAGGTATTCAGAGCCTGCCAGAGCCCTGCGGATTAATACTGGCCCATTTCTCCTTCCCTGTTTTACTTTCTGCAGTTCAGCTGGCCTGACCAGAGTACCTGAACTGAGCACAAGGCTGCAAGTCAGCAGACGTGATTTTATTTCCAGCTCTGCCACACTTGCCTATTGATCTTGAACAAGTTCCTTAGTTCAAGAGCTTCAGAGATGGCCTCTAAATTTAGGGGAGGGGAGGAGGCTGGCTGGTTCTATTTGGGGAGTCCTGCATAGGAGAGCTGAGCTCCGACTCCGTGAGATGCTGAAGTGTAGGATGCGCTAAATGAGATCATGCAAATTATAGGTGTTCACTGAATGACCCGTCTCTTCTCAACCAACAACCCCCCAGTTAAGCTCCCCAGAAATAAGCAGCTGCCTTCGCACATTCCTGCTTTAGCCTGTTCATAAAATAAGGATAACTTACTCCTCTTTGGACAGGCTTTTGGCTCCCATAGCTCTTTTCATCCCCAAATGATGAGGGAGTTAATTGGTGCCAAGTACCCAATTTACAGTCTGCTAACACGGCCCAGGCAGTGCCCAGAGAGGTGCTGCTGTGCAGGATGGAGCCCTGCTTCCCCTCTCCACCAGCCAGTGGGATGCTGCCCATCGCCCTGGGCACAGCAGCCCTGGCAAGGCCAGATTCTGCCACCAGCCATGCCTTTGATCCCAGCCTCAGGAATGTCCATGGAAAGGGCCTTGCTTTCAGGCCACCATGTTCAGCTTGTACAAACCACAGCACACGATTTATGTGAGTAAACTGGCACTGAAGCATCTCTCTGCAACTGCAGCTAAGTATTAGGGGGGTGGTTTTCAACAGAAAGTAAGGGAATCAGAGCACAGCTCCTTTGGATACTGATGAAAATGCAAGGCTAAAATTCCAAAAGAAATGATTTTGAAAAAAAAAAAAAATTGGCTGTCATGACTGCTGGGATTTGGAGTTTCTGTGTTAATATCAAGGCACAGAGGTGTGGTAGGAAGATGCTCTAAGCTTAAGCCTGATGCCAGGCTGTGGCTCAGCCTTCTTGTCTGGGAGTGAGACGTTCACCTGCAAGAAAAACTGGCTCTGATTTTTGCATTTGTGCACAAAGAGTCAGTACAAACAGCTTGTGCCTGGTTTGTTGCTGTCATGTAGGAGCTTTGATCAATTCCAAATAGGATTCGTGCCTGCCATTCCTTGGAGGACAGCCGTGTTCCCAGTCAGAGGAATGAAGTCCTCAAAATCTGACTTCTGCCTTCATTTTGTACATCTCCATGTTTTATTAAAAACCATCTGAGATTAATAAAGAATAAGATGAATGGGAGATTACCTGGGGGACCGCAGCTCTTTCAGGGACAATTAACTACAAGACATTTGAAAGTATGTATTTAAAGAAGAAATTATCATCTCGCTGACAACTTTGCATAAACCTTCTTCCCCCTTCTCTAGCTGTCATCTTTAACAGGATACTGGGGTCAAGAAAGATGCCTTTGAGCTCAGAAAGCAAAGAGACATTGTGAGATGCTTCTGGAAATGACAGATACCGACAGTGCATTTGCCAAAGGACCAAGGGGACAGGCAGATCCAACTTCAACCCACTTCATCTCCTTCCACAGTCACATCTAGCCCTTTGTACACAGCCTATTCTTCAAGGGCCCCTGCAAAGAGAGCATTACCTCGGCCTTGTACATGGGAAAACGAGAGGTGCTTAAGGCCAGAAGGAGGTGAAACAGCCCATTGGCACCATCGCACTCCTGGAAGGAGCTCCCACGCTCTGACTGCACCAGCACAGAGGCACTTACTCATGCTGCAGCAGGTCTTTGAAGTGAATCATCTCCACAATGACCTGGACGTTCTCCTTGGCAGCAGAGCAGAGGTCATGCTTCAGGTAGCACTCCCGCTGTAACTGGAACACCATCTCTTTAATGGCAGGGCACTTACGGCTGATGCAGCTGAATTTATGCCTCAAGGCATGAGCCTTACACTTCAGAGCGTCTTTAATGAAGGATTTTCCCTGAGAAGAAAAGAAATGGAGTAGGTCTGTATTTTTGTCCATTAAGTAAGGCAGCTGATTTATGCCCAGCCAGCTGCTCCTCTGCAGGACAATGTCAAGGGTTATTACAGTGCTAAGGGTATCACTTAATGGCTTTTCACTCTCTTCTCCTTGTTTCTCTGCCCTTAAAGACCATGCCAAGTCACCCAGCTTTGCTATCCCAGTGCATCTGAGACATCCAGGGCTTCCTCACTGGTGCTTTGAGGTTTCCTCTCACCCAACAGCTGAATGCCCAATGAGGGAAAGATCAAAAGTAAGCACCTTAAAGTAGTTCAGTGCTGGAGTTACTGGATTAATTTGCTTCCAGGATGGCAGAACAGCAGGTTCAAACAAAAGAGAGGGCATCCTGCCATGGCTGAGGTCCTCAGGACCACAAACAGATACCCATTCAGTAACTGCAAATTAGGTTTTCTTTATTTTAAAATTAGTTCACAAACTCACAGACATGTATGCATGATTTATAAGCACCTGCCCCATTCTCCAGCTGTCAATACTTTCTCTACTACCACTCTCTCAGAGAGGGCTCAACTCAGCACTACTAATAATCCTCCAGTGTCTTTATGTTTGCTGCAAGAAATTTTAACTGAGATTAAATCAAGAAACTAAAAAAGTAAGGTGGAGAAAATCTGCTTTAGCAACTTCTCTTTAACCACTATTTGTGATTCCTGCATTCACTTGCTTAGTGGACACCAAACCCATCCCCTCCTTTTCTCTTTGCCATCTGACACTGCAGCTGCCATTCATGCGACTGCTCTGCTCAGACTCCCTTTACTTTGCTGAGCAATAGTCTCTTGTGCTGCCTCCACCTCTTCATCAGCTTCAGATTTTACACAGGTGCTTCATGAAGACCAAATCCTTGTTCCCCTTTATCCCAAGAGTACACTGGCACAGCTCCACTGTCACTGAGTCAGGTTCACCCAGACCTGCAAGCAGATGTCGTCCCCAAATTGTTTCAAGCCAGAAATATTTCTTGCTGATCAAAGAGTTGCTTCAGTCATCATCCCTTTCTATTCCCCATACCAAAGGCACTTACTTGCCCTTCCCTTCAGTAACAAACATGCAGAGCACAGTAGGCAAATAAGGATGAAAAAGAGAATTCTTACATAAACCAAACCTGACATCAATTCTCAGGTTTCAGAGCAGAGAACAGAAAATGGACAGCATTAGTCTTGTCATTTAATGCAGCCTGAAATAACTAGATAATAGAGAGAGGAGCTGTGAAAAGTCATGTCATAGCAGAGGCTAAAGCCACCTCCATATTAAATAAAGCTCCAGGGGTTTAAATCTTCTGCACTGCAATAGAGACAGCCTGGATGTGAAACAGGCTGTATTTGATGAGCAATATCTGGGGATCAGGTATCAGTGGTTACACTCAGCTTTTCTAGGCCCCTTTCCCTCCCCTCCCAACAGGACTTACTTCTTTGCTCAACTCTGTTCACTGACAGAATATTGTGCAAAAAGAAATGAGTGTTTTCTGGAAGCCACTTGGAAATTAGAGTTGAAGGTTTTCAGATACCTATAAAAGCAGCAATTCCCACTTTAATGACTAGCCAGACCCTTGGTACATCCTTGAGCATTTGAGCCTAAAACTCCAGCACTTCAAAAGTGCTTCCTACTGGGTGGTCCCACCATCCCTCATGGAATGGGCTGGATACTGAAGACAGCTCTACTTTGTACCATGCTTTTAACAGTGCCATGTAGCTGGTGCTTTTAGTCAAGTTATACTGTAAACTGCCTGGTCAAGCCAAATGCCGCTGGCCCGTAGGAATGTTCCCTTCCCTCCACACTGAAATGGGAGAGTAGGTTTACAAGACATAATAACAGGATGTCTCAATGATGCATAAATGGTCTGGGGAGAAAATGAAGGAGACGAACTTAATACCACATACCATCTAAGTAACGTATTTCAACGTCAGTGCTCGAACCAAAGGCTTATTTGAGTACAGCAGCTTTAGGAGGTTGCCTGGACTGGTTGTATGCAAGTCTTGAGAATCAACTTTAATAACTGCATGTTGGGAAATATTGTGATAAGTCTAAATGAACTGGGAGCCCACGCTACATTTCAGGGTCAGCTTTGAACAAACATGGTGCAGAAGCTTGAGTTGCCCAGTGTTTCTTAAAACCATGTTTGGCTACATTAGTGTTCTGCTGCAGTTATCCTGGGTACAGTAGGTGGAAGGGATCCAGGGAGCTGTAGCTAGAGACAGCCTGTCTCCTGGGACAGGTTGCACACCACTGCTTCGTTACTGTCCTGAGGTCTCGATTCTGGACCTTTCAACAGAAAAATTCTTACTGAGTTAATAAATCATGGCAGAAGCAGACTTGCTTTGTCATGGTAATTTTTTTTTTTGCAAAGATGTGTTAAGGAAATAAAATACAGGCCAAGTGTATGTTAGAAGCAAGTGGATATGTAGGACATTTCACCATGTTACCTGGGCATCGAATTTTCCAGCGTTGTGCAGGAATGTCATGCAGATCTCGTGTAAGCCTCGGATCTCGCAAGAATTGTTTTCAAAGCATTCAAACACTCCACATCCCACATCGCCAGCATTTACCAGGCAGTGCTGGATTTCAGCTAAAATGAGTATTGGTTAGAGTTAATTTGAAGAACTGTTCATAGAAACTGGTGGTGGGTAGGGGAGAGGGAGTTATTTTGCTACCAACATGAGTTTGAAAGAAAAACGCGTGACAATTAATTGTACCCGCAGAGTGCCCACTTTTGCAGAAATTAGGCCAAAACTTGGGTGTATTACGTTATGAAAGTGATATCTGAGAAACAAATGCCAAATCCACTATGCTTACGTCAACCTATTTCACTTGAGAACTGTCTAATGCTCTTGCATTCCTCAGGAGCAAAGGACGGGCGTGATTTTTGCTGTCTGACTTGTACATAGCCCCCCATCAACTTTAAGTGCCACAATGAGAAGCTCAGAACCCAGTCAGCCAAAATTTTTCATTTTTGGTATTTTGAGCTAGTTTCTGGCCATTTGGCACAATGTTTTTTTACAGACCACTGGGTTTTACCTGTCAGGGTGTCTATCAAGTTAATGGCAAAACTCCCACTGATGCATAAAGTCTCTTGCACTGAGTGTTGTCTGAAACTGCAACTATGTGCTCACCTATGCAGAAATCAATAGAAAATATATATATTTATATATGTAGTACATAAAATAGATGAACTGGAGCTAGTAGTTACATATGTATTTATTCTGCCCTTTCAGATGTTATGTAATGGTGTAAAAAATGCTGTCTAATACTCACTTTCAAAAAAAACCAACCACCAACCCAAAAATCTGATTCTTAACACGACAGCTTCTGGTCCTTTAAAAAAAAAAAATGGATGTAGTAGTACTGCCAGAGGGAAGGTGGTTGCTGAAAAAGCCTGGGGATAAAGTTAAACAGGGGCAGCTTTTAGACCAGAACTGAGGATGCTAAGAATTCCTGTACTCTGTGCCCTGTGGTACCTTTAATTAAAGTTCGCCCTTGGGAGCCAGCCTAATCCCCCTCGAACCGCAGCGTGTTTCAGCCATCCCCAGCCTCCCCCTCTGCCATGCGGTCCATTTGCAAGTCTTTACAGCAACTTTCGGTCTAATTTCAACCCGCTGCAAGGCAGAGAGAGGAGCCACGGATGTAAATGCGGAGCCTGCGGGAGTTCACACGACCCCCCCTCACACCTCAAAATGCACTGCCGCTGCATTTTTTTCTTCTTTTCCTTTTTTTCCCCTTCTACCTGCCCCGAAGTGCATCAGGGGGTGGCACAGGGGAGCCCCGGGGGTGGGCTGCGGGGATTGTCTGAGCCACGGGCGAAAAGCTGCGCAAACCCACCCGTCCCGGGGAAGGGGGAAAGGGGCACTGGAGCCCTTTGTGGAGCGCGGAGCCGGGCGCTGCCGGGTCCGGGAGCGCGGCTGTGGTGCTTGTGTTGGCATCCGGATGCAAACCCTTTGCCGGATCACATGTCCTGGCTCCAGCGTGCTGAGAACTGCACAGTGCCGTGATTCACATGTGGCAGTCCCTAATGGGCATTCGTGCATTCCTGCTCGTGTGTGTTTAAACACGTCTCGCAGCACTGAGAGTGTTAAAAAAAAAAAAAAAAAAAAAAAAGGGCAAGGGAGAAGGAGGGGGGGAGAAGACGGGGGGGGGGGGGGGGGGGGGGAAGGGAAGCGTCTGGATCCCGCGCTCTGTCTTTGCACGGCTGGGAAGCGATCCAGCGAAGTGCACGCCTCAGCTCTCTTTTTCTAGGCAGATAATACCCGGGGGAGGGAGCGCGGAGGGCGGGAGAGGAGGAGAGAAACCCCCGGCCCGTTGCATCATTGCACGGCTCCCTACGGAGGGGGCAAAGCTCCGGTCATTCCAGCCGCTTCCCGGCCCTCCGGGCTCCCCCCCAGCCCTCGACCCGGTTTCGAGAAACTTTCTCCTCCCCGGCCCAGCATCTCCTCGGGGCTCGGGCCGCCCCGGGGCCGCTGCGAGCCCGGCGGAGCCGCTCCGTGCCCGGCGCGGGGCCGCGGCTGTGCGCGGGCAACACGTGCTTGGCGGAGCCGGGCTTTAAAGGTAATTAGGAGCGAGCTCTGATTTCCTCCGCTGATTTATGCCTGACAGTCGCGCACCGAAATAAAACGCCTGTCACAACTCGACGCGGCTGCAGCAGCGTGGGGAGGGGGACGCGCACAGACCACCCCGGTCCCCCCGCTCCCGCCCGTACCTGTGTTCTGCAGGGACAGGCGCCCCTTCTGCTGCGGGGTCCTGTCCTGCGGCCCCTCCGGCGGGTGCGTGGCCTCAGTGCCCGCGGCCGCCCTGGCGCTGGCCAGCAGCAGGGCCGTGGCCAGCAGCAGCAGCAGCGCCGGGGCCACCAGCTTTCCGCCGAGCTCCGCGCACATGGTCGTGCCTTCCCCCCGCCGCCGCCGCCGCGTCCTCCCCCGCCGGGTGCCGCACCCGGGCCCAGCGCGCTGCTCGCCGCGGCCCCGAGAACCGCATGTGCCCGGCGCGGCGGCGAGCGCGGAGTGGCAGCGACGGCGCCGGAGGGAGCCTCAAATATCCCCGCCGAGCCCCGGTGTCACTCGCATGAGGGAGCCGAGCAGGTGTCGCTTCGCGCCGCGGCCAATGGCAGCCGCCGCCCCGCTCCGACCGCCCGCCGGGGGCCGGCCCTGCCCCGCCGGCAGGTTGCAGCCGCCCGCCCCCCGCCCCACCCGCACCGCGCCGCGGGGGTGGGAGCGCGGGGGGCACCGGCACCGACCGCGCCCGGCGGGGCGGGGGGAGGAATTGCAAAAGAAAAAAAAAAAAAAAAAGGAAAAAAAAAAGGTGAAAAAGCGGGATTTTGACAAGCGCGCTGGTTTGGAAGGGAGGAGGGAGGCGGCAGCCGGCAGCGAGCGGCCAGTCCCCCCGCAGGCAACTTCGGGGCTCTCCCAACACAAGGGCAGCGGCGGGGGTGCCCGTGCCCGGAGCCGGCTGCCAGCGCCGGCCGTCCTGCGGCACTGCTGCCTCATGGCAAGACTTCATTTAAAAGAAAAAAAAAAAAGAGAAAGCAAAAAAAAAAAAAAAAAAAAAAAAAGAAAAAATCCCTCTCCGAAGCAGCTATTGCAATGACTTTCTTGGAAATCCTCCACTCTCTCATTTTATTTTTTTTTTCCTCCATGGTATTTTGTACCCTGCTTGCTCCTTGGGGATTTGGGCCAAATCCATCACTTGAGGGGGGGGGGGAAAGTGGTACCTGGGTGCGGACCCGGATGGGTGAGCAGGGGACAGGCGCTGTTTTCCCGGGGGGGGGGGGGGGGTGAACTCCCCTTCCCTCCCCCGGTGGAGAGCATCACTCTTTCAAGCCCCCCCCGAGCAACCCCCATCCAGCTCTGGCTGCTGCCTTTTGTCCCGTAGCTGGAGCGGGGAGGAGTGGGGGGACAACACACGGCAACGTAGGAAAATCCGTAGCAGGTGACGAGAAGTGCCGCGCTGGCTGGGGAGGGGGCGTGCGTGTCTCCCCTTGCCCTGCCGTAATGCACATCAGATGTTTCATCAGACCCCGCAGGCCCCATGCGGTCCCGTGTCCCCCCCGCCCCCAGCAGCCCCCGGCAGTGCCGGGGCGCGCTGTGCCGTGCCGGGGGCGGGGGTCCCGCCGGGGGGGGCGCAGCCAGGAATGTCTCCAGCTGCTGCTGCCGCCCGCTCCCTCACAGCTGTCAAAATGCACTTGAGGAAATCCACTCACACCTCCCCGAGCAAGGGTCTCCTCGGCGGGACGTGACACCGCGCCGCAGGACCATGGCTCCACGGCTACGCACCAGCAGGCACGTCCTGACACCCCGTCGCAGCCCCCCGACAGCCCCCGCTCGCCTGGGCCTTCCCTGGTGTTGTCTCAGGCCGGGGGGGGGTGGGTGGTGGTGTTTTGCGCTGTGCCTGAGCCGTGCGAAGTTTTATTTTTATTTTTATCGTTCTGTAGGGTTTGACATCGAAACATCTTTTTTAAGATTGAAATTCTTAGCGGCGGTGCCAAGCTCGTGTGGAAATTCCCTTTTATCAACATGCTGCTGCCTTTGGAACTGCAACTTGCAGCTTTTCCTCTAAGGAACTGGCTGTGCCAGTGAGGATGTCTGCAAAGCCCCTGTGCCCCTGGGATGGGCTCTGCCCTTTCTGACAACAGGGCTATTAAGGGAATAGGTTTTTCTTCTTCATTTATACCTCACCCAGAGTGCCTGCTGGCCCTTCTTTTGTCCTTGTTCTCTTACTATTTATACTGCTGAAGAGTTTTGCTCTTTAATTGCCTTTGCCAGGTCTAACTTAACTCAACTTTAACAATTCTCATCTCCAGTGTTCAAAGACGAGGGACTGAATGAACTCAGGAGCAGAACAGAGGGAGTATGGGCAGGAGAATTTAGGAGATGGCAATTTTTCTCTGTTGGAGGAAGTAACAGCCAATGTACTGTTCCTAAACAGCAAGTTTGTATTGTACATATAATATATTTGTTCCCTGGTGCCTCACAAATGATGCTTTCTCCTGATGCCTTTTCCCTGTTGCTTTACGTCTGATGCCCTCCTGCAGCCATTCCTCATCAATCTTTCCGCCTCTTTTTAAAGTTACAGTTTTTGGATGGGTTTTGCCCTTTTGACTTAAAGGGATTCTGTGCATCCTCCATGTGCCAGACCCGGGGTCCCTCTCTCTGATTGGCTTCTCTAATCGGGACTCATAATTTCCCAGAGTGTGTCCTTTGAACCACGCGGCCCTGGCTGCCCTAGTGTGGCTCGTCCTCCCCTTCAGCCTATATTGTATTAATTGCTCCAACCAAGGTTATTTTAACATCTTTTCCTCACTAAAACCGTGCCTAAAATAGCCCCTGCTTGTGTCACTTTGGGGAAGAAATCTGCTGGCTGTCAGCATGTTGAGCATTTCCCATCTCCTCCTGTTCAGCACACATAGCTGGGCGGAGGGTGGCACTCAGAGCTGTAGGATTTTTCCCTGCTTTTCCCTCTCGAGGTCACTTGTCAGGGTGCTCCTGGGATTAGAGGATCTGGTCCCACTCATCCCTTCCTTAGCAAGGCAGGAAGCTGTGCCTGCATTTTAAAGGTGAGTGCTGTCAGGGAAAACGCGCATGATCCACAAGTCATGCTCTAGCAAATCTGGCGTCTCTTGGAGCGTGGTGTAACTCGCTCCCTGGCAGTGTGATCACTGCCAAGGTAATTTTATAGATGTTACCAATTCCAGTGATTTAAGGACTGGTTTCCAGGGGGCTTGGGATGCCTGAATCCCAAGGCACTGAGGCACTGATCCTGCAGCTTTGCTCCAACGCAGGGAGCTTGCGTGGACTCAGGCGCCCGATTGCAGGACGGTGTCCAGTTGCGAGGCGTTTGATGATGTGTTGAGCAGTAACACTTCAGAGAGGATCACAACTCCTTCCAGCAGTTTTAAACCCCTGCTGGCTTTCAGGATTACACTCCGAGTTCCCTTCGGCTAACATACATACATTTTACTTTTTGAAAGTGTTTCATAGTTTGATTAAGACTTCATATGATCAGGCAGTGGCATGAGCATTTTGCAACTCCCTTTAAATGGGAAGCATTTAATTGTTTGGCGTCTTCAGGGAGATGAGCTGCTTTCATGACTATTAACAGGGCTGTGTCCCTGCAAGGCCGTTGCAGGCAGGTGAAGGCTGAGGAATGCTGTGCAAGAGGCTCCAGCGCACAGGAGAGAGCGAGCACACCCAGTTACGAAGGACAGAGAGGCCGATGACTTCAAAAGGGAAGAGGATGCTGTGGGGAAGGTGTGCCAAGGTCTGGATTCTGGGTTTTCTATCTGTGACTAAACACATTTCACAGTAGAGCTAGAGTAAGCTGTGCTGTGCAGCCCCAGCAGTGCAATGGGATTTCATCAGACTTGAGAAAATAGCAAGACAGGGGAATTTATTGTTGCCTCTTCTCCTGGGTAATTTCCCCACCTCGGGGCTTAGTGCAAGGTGCTGACTTGCAAATGACACATCATTACCAAGCGAGCCCAGAGCTGCAAAGCCTTGCTGGGAAAGTGGTCAGGAGAGCGAAGGAAGCTGCCTCCTGGACTTGGTTCCTTCTGGTGTGGGACCTGCTCTGGGAACATGTTGATTTAATTCCCACAAGTTAGTTCTTGGATGGTGCAAATAAAGCTGCTGACAGTGACTGAAATGAGATTCGACACTGGAGAACCTGTTAGGCTCAGTAAATGTAGGTCTGTTGGGAAGCTTCAAAGGGTTGTATTTTAAGCCACTTTTCCCCTCTCATCATCGATTTAGTATTTTTGAATCTCTGGTAACTAGTTTTTATGATGAACAAGCAGAAGTTGAGAATAAAGTCACAGAGAATGAAATGCAAGAAAAGTCAGAGCTAATTAGATTAAAAATTATACATCCATTCTTTTCTTGATTGGTTGTATAAAACTCAGGTATTTGAGAAATGGTCTCAATGAGTTATGCACCAGGTTTAAAGGTGGTCTGACTTCTTTGATAAAATATGAACTATTTGAAAGATTTATATGAGTCAGAAATGCTGTTGAATATTTTAGTATTTAGAGCAGCAGGAAACCACTCTGAGATATTTTTAAAACAGATATTTACTCAAGTAATTGGTTACTTTTAATGTGGAATAAGAAAACCTGGTGCAGCTATATTGGACTTGACATAAAAGACAGGTATGTAATTTGTGAGCAAAACAGGGTGGAATGTACACATTGTACCTGGGGAGGTATTTCAAGAAAGACAACTCCTTGAGACAAAAAGCCAAAACAACCGACATGCTAGGTTGCATGCCAGAATTGCTTATTCCTCAGTTAATCAGCTGTGTAATGAGTGTCCAGAAACAATCCCTTCTGCCCAGGTAGTTTAAGTTTCAACCTTTGTAAGCTTTGTGGCCATCATAAAATGGATTACATGGAAGTTGGACGAAAAACACATGTTTCTGAGAACATTTTGGTTCAAATAAAAAAAAAATGTGGCAATGTTGGTGCCAACAATTTACTACAGAATATCTGAACCAGATGCTGTTAAACTATAATTCCAAACAATTTGCCAGAATTATGTATTTACTTTATTCTTTAAGTCAAACTAAAGTTATGTGTGTTTTTTATTACTTGTGGATATAAACAAAAATGTGATACAATTGCAAGTAATATAAGGCAGATAATGCCCAACAGTCAGGATTTCTGTGACTACTGCACTAGCTAAAGAAAAATGGAAGTTCTGTTGCTAATTATGTGTGACAGGGTCATCAAAATGGGGTTGTTCAGATGGAGACGTATCAGACTGCAGTCTGCTTAGTCACCAGATAAGAGCTTTGGCCAAAAGCATCTATTTTTCCCTTTTTCTCACAGTAGTACATTTTTTTCCACCTGAGAGAATGGGGACGAGATCTGCAACACATGGAGAGTTACAATCTTAGCTAAAATAATATATGGAAGGGACTCTTCTTAGGAGATACTTGTAGGCAATCTCCGACTTGCTGGTTCTTATCCAGATGAGCTGCTCTCTGATGGTTGAAATGACAGACATTGACGTCAAAATTAACATCTTGAAAGGATAGAGTGAGTTTTAGCAGGAGTTTTTAT